TCGTCAGCCCCGTTGTTTCTCGTGACGCTCTATATGTCTCCAATTGATGAAAACAGAAGGTGTGCAGAGACTTCCATTAAATTGTTCCTAAATTCATGTAAAACTTCATTATCAAAACATCTGCATAGTTATTGCACGCCTATGGTATTAGAGTTTTGCAAGCTGCTTAGGAAGGTTGTCAATGAGGATAAGGATAAGGACAAGGATAAGGATAATTTATATAAGTTTTGCCGGAGTACTCTGGGGTTCCTGTTAGAGAGTGCTGACAGCAGCACGAGGGGGTTGAAGCATGGGGAGCAGGGTGAAGGCCTGCTTGTGATTCAAGAGATTTTCCCGTTTGTCAGTGAATTGGCTGACAGGTTGTGTCAGGATATGAAGTCAAGTATAGGGTCAGCTGCGGGCACGGGAAGTGGCACAGGGCCATCATCAAATGATGTGCGTGATTTTTCGTCATTTTTGAGCCCTTTGCGGACTGCTATTAACCGAGCAGGATTTCAGGCTCCCATGGCTATTCAGTCGCAGAAGAGGGGTTGTGACGATTCTGTTTATGTGGAGGAGATTGATTACCTTCATGCCATATTTAATAATTTGATGAATAATATGGATGATTGCCTTGCTAGAGTGGAAGAATGTTTGGCTGTGGAAGTAAATGGAGAAGCTGAAAGTGCTCTCTGTGGATGGTTGCAGTATCTTGCCATTTTGAAGGAACTCAATGGCATTTCAAAACTCTATAGGGGTGATGAAGAACGATTTTGGATGGTCTTGAAGCATAGAAAGTCTGCATTGTGTGCTTTGATTGTTAGATTTGCTAAGCGAACTGATGATCATAGGTGGATTCTTGAGCATAAGGAAGTAATTGATTTTGAATCTAGGAGGCATTTGGCAATGATGATGTTTCCAGACGTTACGGAAGATCATGATGAGTTGCATGAGATGCTTATTGACAGGTCCAACTTGTTGGAAGAATCATTTGAATACATTGCATGGGCAGAACCTGAGGCACTGCATGCTGGTCTATTTGTGGAATTCAAAAATGAAGAAGCTACTGGACCTGGTGTGCTGAGGGAATGGATTTTCTTGGTATGCCAAGCTCTCTTCAATCCAGAGACTGCCCTTTTTCTGCCATGCCCAAATGATCGCAGAAGGTTCTTTCCTAATCCTGGTAAGCTTGCACAGGTTTTTATGAATGCTTTTCCCTTGACTGCTGTTTGTGCCCCATGGTAAATGGTTTTATCATCTGCTAGGCTGGATTGCGGTAAATAGTTGTCTGGACATGGTTCAGTTAAAATATGTAACTTAGCAAAATGGTTTGACAGTTTTTGGGCAGGGGAGAAACACAAGTTGCTAATATATTCTCAGACCAGTACGTTACATTATTTTACCATAGTATTAATGGTTCACATGGTGCTGATAAGACTTATTATGAAAGATTTGATTCATCACTTATCATTTTCACTTAGACAAAATTTTCCTTTGGTTAATTGTGATAAAGGTGAATTTTGAGAAGTCTATGTTTTATTCTCTGATCAGATTAGCTTGTGCTTGGGTTACTTTGAGGAGTGAGGACTCAGGACTTTCTTTTTGATTATTAGTTTCTGTAGGGGTCAGTGTGACTTAAAGCATAACTAGTAAGTCATGGCAAAGTATATGTTTTGAAACTCAATATGGTGTTAAAAATCCCCCATGCAAGAGGAAACTCAAGGCACAGTTATTTATAGTAGCATTATAGTAACTAAAGCAAGATAATATTTTAACTGTGCTATGCTATGTAGACATAATTAATTGATAATGTCCTCTCATTTATTTCAATAAGCTTAATAAGTGCATACTGCATGCTGCACTGTTTGTATCACTGGTGAAGCTTTAGTGTTCATATCTTAAGTCCTGCATATCAAGATAGATTTGTCATGGTCCATGTAGCTTGTGGCTGCTTTAGGAATGATGGTATACTTTCCATGCCTAGGACAAACACCTCAATGGAAGAAATGTGAGGCTCTTTGAAAATTTTTCTCTCTAATATCGTGAGATTTGTTTTATTTCTCTTCATTCAATGGGTTTAAATTAAGCGATTTGTTGCGTGGCTTCTCTTGTTGCCATGGATGACAATCACCATATACAATTGACCTCATAATCATCATCTTGTTAAAAAACTGAAAATATAACATTGCCTGCTTCAATCAACTTCTCAACTGAGATTGTGCCTTGCACTTTCACAGCTGAAGAAAATAATTTCCTTTATTTGGTGAATCTAAGACCCCAACCTGGTGATCAAAGTTTAACAAATTTTCCAATCATGAACA